GAAAACAGCTGGAGAAACTGACCAGAGAGGGGACAGGTCATGGAGTGTCTGGACACAGGGCTGTTCTGGTGACATGTGTGAGTGATCCATGCGGTGTCTCCATTACTCACAGCTGGGGAAACTGACCAGAGAGGGATATCAGGGTGTCTGGACACAGGGCTGTTCTGGTGACATGTGTGAGTGATCCATGCGGTGTCTCCATTACTCACAGCTGGGGAAACTGACCAGAGAGGGATATCAGGGTGTCTGGACACAGGGCTGTTCTGGTGACATGTGTGAGTGATCCAAGCGGTGTCTCCATTACACACAGCTAGGGAAACTGACCAGAGAGGAATATCAGGGTGTCTGGACACAGGGCTGTTCTAGTGACATGTGTGAGTGATCCAAGCAGTGTCTCCATTACACACAGCTGGGGAAACTGACCAGAGAGGGATATCAGGGTGTCTGGACACAGGGCTGTTCTGGTGACATGTGTGAGTGATCCAAGCGGTGTCTCCATTACACACAGCTGGGGAAACTGACCAGAGAGGAATATCAGGGTGTCTGGACACAGGGCTGTTCTGGTGACATGTGTGAGTGATCCAAGCGGTGTCTCCATTACACACAGCTGGGGAAACTGACCAGAGAGGGATATCAGGGTGTCTGGACACAGGGCTGTTCTGGTGACATGTGTGAGTGATCCAAGCGGTGTCTCCATTACACACAGCTGGGGAAACTGACCAGAGAGGAATATCAGGGTGTCTGGACACAGGGCTGTTCTGGTGACATGTGTGAGTGATCCAAGCGGTGTCTCCATTACACACAGCTGGGGAAACTGACCAGAGAGGAATATCAGGGTGTCTGGACACAGGGCTGTTCTGGTGACATGTGTGAGTGATCCAAGCGGTGTCTCCATTACACACAGCTGGGGAAACTGACCAGAGAGGGATATCAGGGTGTCTGGACACAGGGCTGTTCTGGTGACATGTGTGAGTGATCCAAGCGGTGTCTCCATTACACACAGCTGGGGAAACTGACCAGAGAGGAATATCAGGGTGTCTGGACACAGGGCTGTTCTGGTGACATGTGTGAGTGATCCAAGCGGTGTCTCCATTACACACAGCTGGGGAAACTGACCAGAGAGGAATATCAGGGTGTCTGGACACAGGGCTGTTCTGGTGACATGTGTGAGTGATCCAAGCGGTGTCTCCATTACACACAGCTGGGGAAACTGACCAGAGAGGAATATCAGGGTGTCTGGACACAGGGCTGTTCTGGTGACATGTGTGAGTGATCCATGCGGTGTCTCCATTACTCACAGCTGGGGAAACTGACCAGAGAGGAATATCAGGGTGTCTGGACACAGGGCTGTTCTGGTGACATGTGTGAGTGATCCAAGCGGTGTCTCCATTACACACAGCTGGGGAAACTGACCAGAGAGGAATATCAGGGTGTCTGGACACAGGGCTGTTCTGGTGACATGTGTGAGTGATCCAAGCGGTGTCTCCATTACACACAGCTAGGGAAACTGACCAGAGAGGAATATCAGGGTGTCTGGACACAGGGCTGTAGCTTTGGACATGTATGAGTGATCCACAATACATCTCCTTAACAAATGGCTTGAGTAACAGAGAGGGGACAGGGTATGCAGTGTCTTGACACTTGGCAGTTCACCTCTAGGTTGTTGCCTCCCACAACAGAGGTGCTGATCACTGAATGTCATTCCCTAGCTAGGAACGCTCTGGAAGAGAACATTGTCTGTCCAGTGCATGTGTCAGTCATCAGTGGATGCAGGCTGGCTATTTGAGTATTATGAGTATTCCAGTCATGTCCAGATCAAAGGATTGTGACAGGAAACTACATTCTCTCTCTCTTATATTAGAGAGTGGGTGACTTGATAAAACACCACTTTGAACAGTTTTTCAGTAATATCATGACAGCTTAACTATGAGGAAAACCGGAAGTGATCCAAGTCTTATCACTGTGGTGCTGACAAACCAAGAAAAGCGTAACCTGGGATTTAAACCCACAATCATAGGATTCTAGCACACCATATAGATGCAACACTACACAGCAAATTCACCAAAAACTGCATTCTTATATCTAAACCAATTCATATGTAATAGGTTTATAACATCTCCATAACAACAGTCTGAACAAAGAGAGGAAACTCAGGACTCTCTCACAGTTGTCCATATGGCCCCGGCCCTAGCCCCAGTCTTGCTTGCAGGAATGGAAAACATTCATCTGGCACATGAATATATTATCTTTCATGTCTGATAATATTCCAACTCTCAATCACTCTGTAATCCTGCTTCTGACTCATGCCTGATATTAGTTTCAACTGCTTTCTAATGTTAAAAATGATGTGAGTTGAAAAATCCTAAATAAAAACTCTGAGGCAGGTTTTTTTTCAGCTTTGAATATCCCTTAGCGAGTTGAAAATCAGAGTCAAATGCTCTCTTCTTTAAATCAAATTTAAATCTGTCACCGAATGAAAGATGCAGCTAAATCTATAAATCTGAGCTATATTTCCTCTACAAATCATATTCAAAGTCACAGAAATGAGAGAGTATGAAAATCTGCAAGACTCCTTGATGTAGTGACCTTTGAACAATGTTGAGTGAGGTCACCAATTTTAGATGGCGGCAGACGGGTTCAGTAGCCATTATGGATCCACAGGGACAGACCCATAAAGTTGGAGCAACAAGCAGCCCAGATAGGGCTACATCACTTATGAATGACTTAATCTGGCCAGGACGTAGTCACTCAGGTTAGCCGCTGGTGGAATATCGTGACAAATGACACAACATGTCCGGCTTTCTGCATGCTACATATGACAAGGGAACGGGGATGTGACTTCATTATTTAATAATTGAATTTGGGAACACCTCCTCCTCGGCATTATGACTACCCATCATGGGACAGCAGCAGCAAGCAGGATCAATGGCAGAGTGTTATTATTACAGCCGTCTGCCCCATAGCACCACATCAGGACATTCAGAACTAATTAATCGCCTAATCCTGCCAAGTTAATGACCAATCAGATATTGATCTATTGTGATACTAGGTCCACTTAAGTTTTTTCCGTCCGCATCTAATTTACAACATTTGATAAAACAATCACAAAAATCAGATTTGCTTCTCAATCTGTGTATCTGGAGACGTTATCTTGGTTCCACATGAAACATGACATGGCTGTTGGCTGCTGCTCCACACAAGACAAACACACAGCACCCCATGTGACCACTGTAGGTCAAACATTCAAAAGCTGTACTTGGCTTCCACAACTAGAACTTATCCCCAAATGGGAGTGGAATCAATGTGTATACAATCAAGTGAGCCTCTGATTGGATCATGGGGTCAGATTTACATGTTAGAGAGGGTCACATTCATGTGAAAGGAACATAAAGTTTTTCACAAAAATTGATATGGAACAATCAAAGGTGGAGCAGCTATGCGTGAAAGCATCCAACTTTTGATGTCAAGTGCACAACACTCATGATAGAAGAATATGAAATTTAAACAGATTTATTTCATTCAAAAGAAGAATAAAACTTGGTGATGTGATTTGAATCAGTTCATTTCTGACTAATTCTTCATCAAGTCTGTGTTATTGGGTATTGAGTCCTTGAGGTCTCCAAATACAGTAGCGATTATTCCAGGCCCAACACAGAGCAGATATTATACTCATTGAATTATTATTACAAAGTCAAGGAGTTACATACAATAAAGCTAAAATCAAAAATTTTAAGTGACCACTGAAACAGTACAGTTGACAGAGTATGTGACCTCATCAGACCAATCAGGAGAGTTGATCCTAAACTTTATGTGATGCCCCAGCAAACAGCATTATTCTTGTATCACAAGCACAGATGCAGCCTTTTGGAAAAGGAGGGCTGCGTAAGGGCTGGGACGAGTCCAAATTTACTACCTGATCCTCTGTTACCCTACCTGAGAACGCACTGTAGGATCTCAAGAGTTGGGTAGATAAATGTCAAATTTGGGAATACATGTAGTTTGACCATAGCCCTGGACAAATCTGGTCAAGCATATGTAGCGGCCATAAAATTTCCGAGTCCCGTGATGGGATTCGAACCACGGACCTTCTGATCAGAGGTCGGACGCCTTGTCCACATGACCAAAGAGGTTAACCCCGTCAGCAAGCTGACAAGGTAAGGATGTCATCTGTGGGATAACTCCACGCCCTTCTACATACTCCCCCGTCAACAGAAGGCACGTCCCGGGCCGCATAGTAGGGTAATGAGGCTTATTTTGCTCAAATTTAATATGAACGTGCTCAGCCCCACGTTGGGCGCCAATGTAGCGGCCATAAAATTTCCGAGTCCCGTGATGGGATTCGAACCACGGACCTTCTGATCAGAGGTCGGACGCCTTGTCCACATGACCAAAGAGGTTAACCCCGTCAGCAAGCTGACAAGGTAAGGATGTCATCTGTGGGATAACTCCACGCCCTTCTACACATACATTGAAGTTGACTGAAGCTTTATCTTATTTCAAACATATGAAAGAAATGTAAAAATTAGTGACTTGTAGTGTAACCATAGAGTTCCAGAATTTTTTGTCATTAAACAATATATCATGTGACTAACCATGGGTCCGGATAGTCCTGTGGGGAAATGGGTAATACTCAGTACCCATCCGACCTGAGTACCCGATTTACCCATCCAAGCCCTAGGCTTCTTGATTTGGCACTCACATTGGGTAGTCATGTATCACCACAATGACACAGGAGTTAGTAATAGTGTTGTAATACCCCTCCTGCCTGAATCTTAAAGCGTCCTTTGCAGAATAACAGAAGAACAACCTTCAAATCTTTGTATGCAGTTAATTAATTATTCACATACATTTTGCATTCCCCATCCCCCAAACTTAATACTGCTAGAGGCCTTCAACTGTACAGTGTTAAAAACACCTTCACAGAAAGTGCATAGAAAAACATAATAAAACTGTTTGTTCCTGTATAACTTTATGGACCACTGATCTAGTGAGATGTGTACCTGTGCCTGTGACGAGGTCAGTCTGTCCTGGAGCTGGTCACACTCTGCCTGGAACCTGCCTGTCTGTTCCTGGAGATCTACCTTCCTGGAAGCAGACACACAGCATCACTGGTACCATATACTAAACATTGGTGGACTGCAGACTTGCTACAGTGTTACAGCATCATTCATAGTCTCACTGCTTCATAAGTACTTCACTACTACAACGGTACTACAGTGTTACAGAATCATTCATAGTCTCACCGCTTCATAAGTACTTCACTACTACAACTGTACTACAGTGTTACAGCATCATTCATAGTCTCACTGCTTCATAAGTACTTCACTACTACAACTGTACTAGTGTTACAGCATCATTCATAGTCTCACCGCTTCATAAGTACTTCACTACTACAACTGTACTAGTGTTACAGCATCATTCATAGTCTCACCGCTTCATAAGTACTTCACTACTACAACTGTACTACAGTGTTACAGCATCATTCATAGTCTCACCGCTTCATAAGTACTTCACTACTACAATTGTACTACAGTGTTACAGCATCATTCATAGTCTCACTGCTTCATAAGTACTTCACTACTACAACTGTACTACAGTGTTACAGCATCATTCATAGTCTCACCGCTTCATAAGTACTTCACTACTACAACTGTACTAGTGTTACAGCATCATTCATAGTCTCACTGCTTCATAAGTACTTCACTACTACAATTGTACTACAGTGTTACAGCATCATTCATAGTCTCACTGCTTCATAAGTACTTCACTACTACAATTGTACTTGTGTTACAGCATCATTCATAGTCTCACTGCTTCATAAGTACTTCACTACTACAACGGTACTACAGTGTTACAGAATCATTCATAGTCTCACTGCTTCATAAGTACTTCACTACTACAACTGTACTAGTGTTACAGCATCATTCATAGTCTCACTGCTTCATAAGTACTTCACTACTGCAACTGTACTTGTGTTACAGCATCATTCATAGTCTCACCGCTTCATAAGTACTTCACTACTACAACTGTACTAGTGTTACAGCATCATTCATAGTCTCACTGCTTCATAAGTACTTCACTACTACAATTGTACTACAGTGTTACAGCATCATTCATAGTCTCACCGCTTCATAAGTACTTCACTACTACAACTGTACTACAGTGTTACAGCATCATTCATTGTCTCACCGCTTCATAAGTACTTCACTACTACAACTGTACTAGTGTTACAGCATCATTCATAGTCTCACTGCTTCATAAGTACTTCACTACTACAATTGTACCACAGTGTTACAGCATCATTCATAGTCTCACTGCTTCATAAGTACTTCACTACTACAACTGTACTACAGTGTTACAGCATCATTCATAGTCTCACCGCTTCATAAGTACTTCACTACTACAACGGTACTACAGTGTTACAGAATCATTCATAGTCTCACTGCTTCATAAGTACTTCACTACTACAACTGTACTAGTGTTACAGCATCATTCATAGTCTCACTGCTTCATAAGTACTTCACTACTGCAACTGTACTTGTGTTACAGCATCATTCATAGTCTCACCGCTTCATAAGTACTTCACTACTACAACTGTACTAGTGTTACAGCATCATTCATAGTCTCACTGCTTCATAAGTACTTCACTACTACAATTGTACTACAGTGTTACAGCATCATTCATAGTCTCACCGCTTCATAAGTACCGTATATGACCGCGTATAAGCCGAATTTTGAGGACCAGAAAAAAGATTCTGTAGAAAGGGGTCGGCTTATCCACGGGATACACTTTCATGATAGTATTTTTCAGATCGTGATCGGTCAAAAACATCGCCTGAATGACGGTCGGTTAGATAACAACTTCCCGAAAGTTTGGAAGTTGCCACGACTAGAGACATTATTGTTATAAATTATCAATAAAGTTATTATTATACACCAATGTTGTCATTATTAAAAAAAAAGTTATGCATATTACTACTTCCGATAATAAGTTTTCAATTGAATGTTCAAAGTTTATCATTCTTCTTAAACTCCGCGATCTTTACATGTAACAATATATGTAATTCACAGCTATAATATATAATCCCCAAATGAAATCGCCAATAGCTATTACGTACGTTTTGCAAAGTTCATAAATTGATAGTGAACAAGTGTCTACCTTTATTGAAAGAGGCAAATAAACAACTGTATCTGCGAGTTATTCCGTTCGCCATTTGCAAAAACATGTGATCAGCTGTTTCCTGTGACGTCACAAACGGTGACCACTGTGATTGCTTCCTGTTGTTTAAAGCAACACGGTACACAAGGAAATGAGCATTGATAATAACGGGCCGATTGGTATTGTCATGTTGTTTACACAAACATTTTCAAGTTGTGGGTGCTTAGCGATCGTGTTGGGAGTAGGGGCTTAATTCCTTTGTTTTCGAGAGATTAGTTTATTAAACTGGAGAAGCCTGTGAGTAAGTGATGGTCATTCAATGTGTTCATAGTATGATAGTTTATTTAATTCAATTGGATTAACATACAATAGTGGTGTAAGGGGGTTATAAAAGTTGGTATATTTTTACTGACTGACATTCTCATCATGAGTTTGAAACGAAAACGCCACGCTTACGATGCTGAATTCAAACTGCGCGTCTTCGCACTAGCCGATATATTTTCTCACGGGATCATAATTCTATATGCACCGATTCACAAAATGGCGCTTCGTTGTTGATGGCAACATATAACGATCATTATGAGATTAAAAAAACCCACGAGAAACAGCTTCCCACATTATGAAAGTGGATGACTGGTTTGTTAAATCTTTATTAGAAATAATAATGACTTTTTCAATATAATTACAACGTTTTTCATCTTATATTTTTGAATATCTGCGAGTACCGGCACATGTCTTGCAGTCCGACTTCGCAGTGTTTTTTGCCTTTTAATTCCTGGTTCGGCTTATCTGCGGGTCATACCATTTTCTTTCGTATTTCAATGGTCAAATTAACACCTCGGCTTATCTACGGGGTCGGCTTATCCGCGGTCATATACGGTACTTCACTACTACAACTGTACTAGTGTTACAGCATCATTCATAGTCTCACCGCTTCATAAGTACTTCACTACTACAACTGTACTAGTGTTACAGCATCATTCATAGTCTCACTGCTTCATAAGTACTTCACTACTACAATTGTACTAGTGTTACAGCATCATTCATAGTCTCACCGCTTCATAAGTACTTCACTACTACAATTGTACTACAGTGTTACAGCATCATTCATAGTCTCACTGCTTCATAAGTACTTCACTACTGCAATTGTACTACAGTGTTACAGCATCATTCATAGTCTCACTGCTTCATAAGTACTTCACTACTACAATTGTACTACAGTGTTACAGCATCATTCATAGTCTCACTGCTTCATAAGTACTTCACTACTACAATTGTACTACAGTGTTACAGCATCATTCATAGTCTCACCACTTCATAAGTACTTCACTACTACAATTGTACTACAGTGTTACTCTATTTCTACTAAAGAGGCTCCTGTCATCACCTTGGTCCTATCAAACATTCTGAAGAAATAAGTTACTTAATATAGCATATCATTATATCCTGATGGAAATGAAAAAGGGAACACTTCGTTTTAATCACAGTAAAGAGATATGCTATCATGGGTTCCCAGCCCTGTCTACCAAATACACATTGGCAACAATACACACAAGCAGATCTCAACATTGGATTATGACATGTGTTGAATTTGTATGCACACTCTTTCAAACTACTGACTGTAAAGCTTATTTCCTAGACTAACATATAGTCTCTGAAATGAACATATCATACAGAAAAAAACAGTTGTTCAGTTATCTTAATAAAAATCTAATAAAAAGGGAGCCCAGTGATTCTCTTCATTTTCAGATTAAAAATCTCTTCCTCCTTTTTTTTATGATGAAGTGGGATTTTGATAATGATAGTTTCAGTAATCTGTAGTCATTCACAGGAGAGGGGGCATTGCGTGAGGGGTATTATGCTATGGCTAAATCTAGACTTGCCAAACATTATAGACTTGCATGGGCTGTAGTTGATATAAATGTATCAGGGTCTGTAAGACAGACTACTTATTTCCCTAAATGTTTCATTCTTCACTTATTTGTTTCCATCAGAAAATATATGAAAGGCACCCCAGTTTTTTAAAATGGTCAATCACTTCCATAGTAGTAGTAAAACCTTACTAGGTCATGACACTGTCACATTCTCTTGTATCTTGACATACACAACAGTAAGTGTAAATTCCAACGAGGAAAGTCAGGAGACATGACATTCTATATGCTCATCACAGTGTGGTATCAGCATTAGATGATAGTGTATATTAGTGAAATGCAAACATTGGATCAGCAGGGAAAGCAGTTATGATGAATGTGGCCTGCCTACATGAGTACAAGGATTATACTCTACTTCCCAGGGGCTGGGTGCTGCTGAACTCACTTGGTGAGCAGGTCGCTGATCTCCAGTGACTGTTTGGCTACGATGTTCTGGAGCTCTTCAATACGGTCATCCTTGATCTGCAGGATCTCCAGGACCTTGAGGTCCTTGGCCTCGGACTTCTCTTTCTCCCTGCACAGTACAGAACATGCGTCAGTCCTACACCACAAGGACGGCTGTACAGACCACTAACTACCTTGTATATACATGCTGCAATAGTCTTTGACCCTGCTAATAGTTGTGTGCATGAAACATAGTTGATAATTGAAGATCAAATAAGTGAAGTTGATTGAATCTGCATTTTTAAATTTGTCATGCAATTAATTTTCATTCCATTATTTAATCACTACAGGGATGATTCAGATAAAAACAGTTTCAAACAGTATTTTTTATATTCATCAAACTACTATAAACAATTATTTTAAACAGATAAAACTCAATGCCATGTTAGTTTTCTTTCAAAAGCTGAATGGTCAAATTATGGCCCATAAGCAGGGATACACAGACCAACAGGTCATTTGCACACATAAAAGTGCACCACAAAGTGTGAGCTGATGACAATGTACTGATAGTAGTGATTACCTCTGTATGACCAGGGATATCGCCTCTGTAACATCTGGATTTGATACCTGCAGCCGTTTCCATAACGACCACACAAATTCCTTGTCAGCCTAAAAAGATTATGAAATAGATGTTAGTACAATAAGTAACAACAGTAATAAAGACAGTAGCACCATGTAATAAAGAGATTACATCAACAAGTGAATTACAGAAGAACTGCAAAACCCTTGCAGAGGGGGCATCCATCTTCTGTCCTAAGATAACTGAGATGCATGGGGTGCTGGTGCCGTTATCTCGTCATTATACCCTGGACTTTTGTTGATGCTATCAATCACTGGTTTATATGGACCAGACTTGTTTACAGTACTTGGATTACATTTCCTCCACCTTGACTGTGCCATGAGCTGTCTGTCTGATGTGTAAGTTATACCAGTCTGAACGCCAAAATTACATAGTGATCTGGCCCCTTTCAAAAATACTATCTTAAGGCTATGGCCAACTCAACTCAACTTCATATTGGTGCTATATTTGCTTTGTGCAACAGAGCCTCAATGAATCATGTTCTCCTCTAAGAGCTTGTACACCCGACTGTTGGTTCCACATCCAAGCCCATCAAACACACATCTAACTTCTATTGTCCATATTTATGAGATACTGGTGCTTTACTTTGTATTCTAAAATGGTTGAATGTTGATATCATAGCTGCTGACAGTTCATTATTTCACCACAAAGGCATTTGATTTTATGAGTTGTGGTGGGAATGTCCCCCATCATTTAAATGTACATGAACGACGATGTATCAAGTCTTACGATCATCTAATGAGCACTGCATACACAAACACAATCACAGATCTGCAGAGTAATGTACAGCATGTTCTATTCCTTTATGAGAAAACTGTGAAGTTCGGTATATTTGTGTGTGTTGCTGTGGTAAAGTTCACTACATTTGTGTCTGTTGGTGTGGTAAAGTTCACTACATTTGTGTCTGTTGCTGTAAAGTTCACTACATTTGTGTCTGTTGCTGTGGTAAAGTTCGGTACATTTGTGTATGTTGCTGTAAAGTTCACTACATTTATGTCTGTTGCTGTGAAGTTCTGTACATTTGTGTCTGTTGCTGTGGTAAAGTTCGGTACATTTGTGTATGTTGCTGTAAAGTTCACTACATTTGTGTCTGTTGCTGTGGTAAAGTTCGGTACATTTGTGTATGTTGCTGTAAAGTTCACTACATTTGTGTCTGTTGCTGTGGTAAAGTTCACTACATTTGTGTCTGTTGCTGTGGTAAAGTTCGGTACATTTGTGTATGTTGCTGTGAAGTTCACTACATTTGTGTCTGTTACTGTGGTGAAGTTCGGTACATTTGTGTATGTTGCTGTAAAGTTCACTACATTTGTGTCTGTTGCTGTAAAGTTCACTACATTTGTGTATGTTGCTGTAAAGTTCACTACATTTGTGTCTGTTGCTGTGGTAAAGTTCACTACATTTGTGTATGTTGCTGTAAAGTTCACTACATTTGTGTCTGTTGCTGTCGTAAAGTTCGGTACATTTGTGTATGTTGCTGTAAAGTTCACTACATTTATGTCTGTTGCTGTGAAGTTCTGTACATTTGTGTATGTTGCTGTGAAGTTCTGTACATTTGTGTATGTTGCTGTAAAGTTCACTACATTTGTGTCTGTTGCTGTGAAGTTCTGTACATTTGTGTCTGTTGCTGTGGTAAAGTTTAGTACATTTGTGTGGGTTGCTGTGAAGTTCTGTACATTTGTGTGTGTTGCTGTGAAGTTCTGTACATTTGTGTGTGTTGCTGTGAAGTTCTGTACATTTGTGTGTGTTGCTGTGAAGTTCGGTACATTTGTGTGTGTTGCTGTGAAGTTCGGTACATTTGTGTCAGTTGCTGTGAAGTTCGGTACATTTGTGTGTGTTGCTGTGGTGACGTTCTGTACATTTGCGTGTGTTGCTATGGTGACATTCTGTACATTTGTGTGTGTTGCTGTCACATTCTTTACATTTGTGTATGGTACAGTGAGATTCTGTACATTTGTGTATGTTGCTGTGGTGACGTTCTGTACATTTGTGTATGTTGCTGTGAAATTCTCTACATTTATGTATGTTGCTGAGAAGTTCTGTACATTGTGCATGTTGCTGTGAAGTTCTATTCATTTGTGTCTGTTGCTGTGGTAAAGTTTGGTACATTTGTGTCTGTTGCTGTGGTGAAGTTGGTACATTTGTGTATGTTGCTGTAAAGTTCACTACATTTGTGTCTGTTGCTGTGGTAAAGTCCTGTACATTTGTGTCTGTTGCTGTGAAGTCTGTACATTTGTGTCTGTTGCTGTGGTAAAGTTCTGTACATTTGTGTGAGTTGCTGTGAAGTTCTGTACATTTGTGTATGCTGCTGTGAAGTTCGGTACATTTGTGTATGTTGCTGTGAAGCTCTGTTCATTAGAGTATGTTGCTGTGGTAAAGTTCGGTAAATTTGTGTGTGTTGCTGTGAAGTTCTGTACATTTGTGTATGTTGCTGTGAAGTTCTGTACATTTGTGTATGTTGCTGTGAAGTTTGGTATATTTGTGTGTGTTGCCGTGAAGTTCTGTACATTTGTGTGTGTTGCTGTGAAGTTTGGTACATTTGTGTGTATTGCCGTGAAGTTCTGTACATTTGTGTGTGTTGCTGTGGTGACGTTCTGTACATTTGCGTGTGTTGCTGTGGTGAAGTCCTGTACATTTGTGTGTGTTGCTCTGTTGACGTTCTGTACATTTGTGTTTTGCTGTGGTGAAGTCCTGTACATTTGTGTGTGTTGCTGTGGTGACGTTCTGTACATTTGTGTGTGTTGCTGTGTTGCTGTTCTGTACATTTGTGTGTTGCTGTGGTGAAGTCCTGTACATTTGTGTGTGTTGCCGTTGTGACGTTCTGTACATTTGTGTGTTGCTGTGGTGACGTTCTGTATATTTGTGTGTGTTACTGTGGTGACGTTCTGTAGTTTTGTGTATGTTGTTGAAAGTAGAAACATGGCATCACAGTTGGACCGTGTTTCAGTAGTACATTGTTCAACAACCTTAAGTTTGAGCTTTAAAAAAGCTTTGTGTTTTTTATTTCTGGTGTCAATTCATAATATTCCTTTGTGCATATACAGCTTGGAAGTTCCTGGCCAATGAAAGACATCCTATGTTGATAACTGCTTGTGCCAGGATGCATCCAACATGTAAACATGAACATATATTTTTTCATAATCATAACCAAAACAAAACCTCATAAGGATAGCCGGGCTGAACACCCTCATGGTGTATCCTTAAACATGCAGCTCATGGCAGTGGTCTTTGTTACACAACATGTTGGGAAGACAGTACGAGGGCTGGCTGAAAAGTTCTAAGCCTAACTTTGAAAGACCCATACCAAGTCGATGGTTTTCATTTATTTCTCCACATAGTCCCCTTCCAGGTTTACACACTTTTGCCAGCTAGCCGCAAGGCCTTGATGCTGGTCAAGAAGAAATTTTCTTCAGCCACCCTTAAAAAGTCATTCACAGCGGAAATGACGTCATCATTACTAGGAGAATGGCGACCGGCTAGTTCCTTTTTCATTTTGGGAAACAGGTGAAGGTCTGACAGGGCCAAATTGGGTGAATAAGGGGGATGGTCAATGAGTTCGAAGCCACAATCAAGGATCGCTGACATGGCAACCACTGATTTGTGAATAGGAGCATTGTCTTGGTGGAACATGTCTCCTTTAGTGAGCATTCCCCGTCACTTAGCTTTGATAGCTTCACGTAACTGTCTCAGTAGGTCAGCATAATATCTTCCATTGATAGTCTGGCCTTTTTCAAGATGGTCAATCAGCAGAATACCCTTGGAATCCCAAAAGACTGAAGCCATCACCTTTCCAGCAGATGGAACCGACTTGGCTTTGGGAGGCTGGTGATTCCGGATGCTTCCACTGTTTAGACTGAATTTGGAGAAACGTTTGTCATTCCCAACTCGTTGGTGATAATGTGCTCAACCCTCTCATGAGAGATGCCCACAACACTGGCAATATGTCAAGTGGTCAATCGTCGATCAGACATCACCATGTCATGCACCCGGGTAATGTTTTCCGGAATGGTAGCTGTTGAAGGCCTTCCTGGACGCAGGTCATCGTCAAGGCTTTCTCTGCCACGCTTGAATTCTGCAGCCCACTTCTTTACAGTGGAAAAGGAAGGGGCATCATCCCCTAAAGTGGAGACCATGTCAGCATGTATCTGTGTTGGAGTCAGCCCTTTCAGTTGCAGGTACTTGATGACTGCCCTATAGCCAGTTTTGTCCATTTCTGGTGATTTCAATGGGTAGGTTCACAACATGGTCTGGTACAAAGACAATAATAACACTACAGTTGCAGTTCTTATGTCTATGATTCATTAAATGATTGTACTTGTTGGTGGCAAAAGTTTGTTTCAATCCGATTGAGATATCCAGCTTAGGCTTAGAACTTTTCAGCCAGCCCTCGTAATTATTGAGTCTTAATTATTGCTCTATCATGGTTTTGGATGCTCTATTTTATCCCAAGATGCTTTATTTCAAATGCTATGCCTGTTTATTTCATGGTCCACTTCCAATATACTGAAGTTACTTTGATGAGTTTATGTTACTGAGATTCATTTTTCACACATTCTTCGTCACTATGGAATACAAGTTGATAGATTTGATAGTTAATAAGTATCCTTAACTATTGTCTTTTCTATTTAACAAGCCATCCATGTTGATGGTGCCACTGATGCCCATGTATTCGAGACATGTGTTTTGTTATTACGAGCTGCTCCTCTTATTAGTACAAGAGGGAATGGGGCCTTGTAATATGTGTATACTCCATTTGTAGCTGCGTCTGCCTCACAAAAAACTGGAAAACTGCAACATGTATCAGTGTTGATGATATCATCATCACCAAAATTACATAATCACCACCTATTTTCTCATCCTGACATCAGATGATTGAAAGCTGAAGCACCATGTTCATAAACACCAGCAGGATGTCAGTATACGATGGAAATGCACGCTGATGGGGACGACGGTGGATGGAAATGCACGCTGATGGGGACGACGGTGGATGGAAATGCACGCTGATGGGGACGACGGTGGATGGAAATGCACG